GGGGGGGGGGGGGGGGGGTTGTTGTCTCTCTCTAGAGAGAGGGAGAGAGAGTAAGAAAGTCACGTGCACATAGGAAAAATCAGAAAGATATGGGGATGTGCACATAGGAAAAATCAGAAAGATATGGGGATCAACAGACATTAAAATAGATAAATTTAGGTGATTAAATATAACAGAGAAAAAGTTATAGGTGATTAATTATGGGTCCCAATACTGATCCGACGACTATAGAAGATCTGGTGCACATAATTTTATCCTAAAAATAATAGGGGCATCTTTGAAATATCGGTAAACAACGAGTACAATGTAATTAATCCATCAACGTATTATGTAAATTTGTTTCGACAAAATTGGAGATTTTATTTCATATAATTGAGGCTTGGGATTTAGTTTGATTTTGGCTTAGATAGAAACAACATATATAAATTTGTTTTCCTTATCTCTATACCTTTTTTCTTTCTCATCATCTACACTGCAATCCAACGTCATAAGTAAATGCCTTAGCATCCCACCTTTTATTTTTCAAATTATTTTGTTCTTAAAAATTAATTTTCTCATATTATATCCTCAACATCATAAAATAGTTGTCATGTGGCTCTCACATTAACTTTCATTGTTATTTCTGTCAAATTCACATGCGTCGCATTGAGCAGAATTTGCCGACAACAACAATGAAAGTTAGTGTAATAGTCACACTTAAATTATTTTATGACTTTGATTGTGCTATGTGAAAAAAATAAGTCTTGAAAGTGTAAATTAAAAATTTTAAAATCTTTCAGAATACAATATACAATCATGTATGAAAGATCTCTAAAATAACTAAAATATGAAGCTCATTTAACAATTAAATGAGTTCAAAAATAAACCGCTAAAACTCAATTAATCTATATAACAATACACATAGTCCTACTTACATAAAACACAAAAACGACTCAGGTCATATAGATTCAACGATTTATGTTTTAATCACAATAACTCATTTCAATTTTGACTTTTTAACGATAGTAGCTCAATTCATGTATTAAAAAAAATCATGTTTTGCACGGTGACACTCTAGTTCATAATAATATAAGTAATTTTTTTAAAAAAATAAAATAATATTGCATTTAATATTAAAAAAGTCAATATGAACTCATGTTAACAACACACAAATCCGATTAAGCATGATTACAAATGAATCAATTATAGATTGAACAAAATCTGACACAACAATATTTAAAAATGATACAAATTTAATATGATAGGATATGGTTAATTGACAGCTAATTTTAAAAAAGAAAAAAAAAACCATTCTTTAAACCATAAAAAAATTTAAAATTTTAATTTATACCTTCAAAATTTATTTTCTTGAATTACATTCTCAATGTTATAATAGTTGCAATGTGATTTTTATACTAATTTGCATTGCCAAATTCATGTACATGTGTGTAACGAGATTTGAGTCGCGGGTAGCAAAATTTGAATATAAGGGCCACTCTACAATTATTTGGACTAATCTTAGTTTGCATCTCAAAATATTAGAAATTTTAATTTGTACCTTCAATATTATAAATTGATAAAAATGTGCACCTCATCCATTCTTGTGGTTTTTCGTCAAAAATTATAGCAACTGAGTTGTAAGTACTTGGGGGTACGAGCTTATGTAAAAATTTATAGAATATAGGTGTCTTATGTGAGTTACACGTGATAATATTAACTTCTATTTGATTAATAAAATCTATTTTTTGATACACAAAAAGTGTCAAATTAATCTCATAGGAAGGTTTGCAGCAATAGTTGTACCTCATTTTTATGCTCAAAGCACATGCACCTCGTTTGCTTTAATTTATGATAGAAAATCGAATGATAATCTAAGTTAAATCTATATTATTATCAATTTATAGCATTAAAAGTATAAATTAAATTTTTTAATATTTAAAAATATAAATTAGGAGTAGAATTAAGTTTTAGAATATAATTGTTGTGTGTATTTCTTCTGTACGTGTTAAAAAAAAAAAGTTTTAAAATATAAAGCGAGATTAACCCATACTTTTATGACACAACGCGTGTATACCAGGTGGCCGCAGCTGGTTCTATCAATGATTCAATGCGGAGAATGTTAAAGCTTTTTGTGCCACTAAAGGATTTGGGTGTGCAAGTGGGGTGTGCCGTGTGCGCCACATCAAACATCATAGCAGTTGATAATTCTTTTGAGAAATTTATTTTTAATAAATTTTTAAGGTCGAATGTTAATGTAAATCATAGCAACAGAATCCACCGCACGAACAACTATTTTTTTTTGTTCGGACCATCCGCTATCTAAAAGTCACAATAAATTTCGATTAATCCGAATTCGAGCAGGATAGAATCGCAAGGACGATAAAGTTCTTTCAATAGAATATAATTACGTTCCCAAATTTTGAACCAAAGATCTTAATTAAACTAAAATAATCCTCCACCAATTGATCTACGCACTCAATAGTTGCAAAGAACCATTTTTGTCTGCCTATAACTCATCTCATAAAAAAAAAAACCCCAAACACCTGTCCCCCCGAAGACCCACCCCTCAAGACTGTCACAGAGTTCAGGAAACTCCCTTTTTTGAAGTCTTCATTATTTCCTTTAATTTTCTTTCACAAACGAACCTGTGTCTGAATCTCTGGACGACCAGGCAGTCTGTTTTTGAGCCCTTGAAGAGAAAGATGAAGATGAAGGCAGTGAAGCTACTTGAAGGCCTTGATCAAGACCTTCATGGTGCTGAACAGGTGGCTAAGAAGGAACTTGAGGAAGAAGAAGAAGAAGAAGGAGTTAAAGTGAACGGACGGCCTACGCTAATGAAGAGTCCCAAATCCATGGAAGACAATTTAACACTGACACAATTGTCTAACACCCTTCAAACCCCATCTCAGATNTAATCTAAGTTAAATCTATATTATTATCAATTTATAGCATTAAAAGTATAAATTAAATTTTTTAATATTTAAAAATATAAATTAGGAGTAGAATTAAGTTTTAGAATATAATTGTTGTGTGTATTTCTTCTGTACGTGTTAAAAAAAAAAAGTTTTAAAATATAAAGCGAGATTAACCCATACTTTTATGACACAACGCGTGTATACCAGGTGGCCGCAGCTGGTTCTATCAATGATTCAATGCGGAGAATGTTAAAGCTTTTTGTGCCACTAAAGGATTTGGGTGTGCAAGTGGGGTGTGCCGTGTGCGCCACATCAAACATCATAGCAGTTGATAATTCTTTTGAGAAATTTATTTTTAATAAATTTTTAAGGTCGAATGTTAATGTAAATCATAGCAACAGAATCCACCGCACGAACAACTATTTTTTTTTGTTCGGACCATCCGCTATCTAAAAGTCACAATAAATTTCGATTAATCCGAATTCGAGCAGGATAGAATCGCAAGGACGATAAAGTTCTTTCAATAGAATATAATTACGTTCCCAAATTTTGAACCAAAGATCTTAATTAAACTAAAATAATCCTCCACCAATTGATCTACGCACTCAATAGTTGCAAAGAACCATTTTTGTCTGCCTATAACTCATCTCATAAAAAAAAAAACCCCAAACACCTGTCCCCCCGAAGACCCACCCCTCAAGACTGTCACAGAGTTCAGGAAACTCCCTTTTTTGAAGTCTTCATTATTTCCTTTAATTTTCTTTCACAAACGAACCTGTGTCTGAATCTCTGGACGACCAGGCAGTCTGTTTTTGAGCCCTTGAAGAGAAAGATGAAGATGAAGGCAGTGAAGCTACTTGAAGGCCTTGATCAAGACCTTCATGGTGCTGAACAGGTGGCTAAGAAGGAACTTGAGGAAGAAGAAGAAGAAGAAGGAGTTAAAGTGAACGGACGGCCTACGCTAATGAAGAGTCCCAAATCCATGGAAGACAATTTAACACTGACACAATTGTCTAACACCCTTCAAACCCCATCTCAGATCACTACTTTCCCTTCTTCCCTGGTCTGCTCTCTCTCTATCTCTCTCTCTCTCTCTCCCCCCCTGGTATTCTTGAATTGTGGACTACTATCAGATCTGGTTCGTTGTTGCAGGGCAAGCGAAAGAGGAAGCCCAAATTGATGACTGACGATATTTCTGAAATCCTCAATAAGAAGAAGAAGAGAAGCCCTTCGGCTTCCAAATATAAGAATGTATGTGTTCTTTTTTCTTTGTACTCTTTAGTTGTTGTTGTTCTTGCCAATGTGACAACCCACTAATCCATACTTACCTCTCTCTCCTGTCCCCTACCTCTATCCACTTTAATCTTAAATTGTATAATTAAAAATTAATAATATTTATAATATAAATATTACCGGATCAATGTTCGATTTTAAGTATTATAGAGCGTCTTCACGGGGTTATTGTGAGTATTTCTATATGATGACGCAAAGAAAACTTCAATACATTGATACTATTATTTTTGACAAAAAAACACATGAAAGTACATCTGCTTTTGCAATTGCCATAGGTGGGTTTCCATGTTTTGAAATCATTGTATAATGACTTACCAGGTTAATCAACCCACATATAATTTGTCACCCCATACTATTTGGGAAGGCTACACACTACTGTTATGCATTAGTATACTCATTCCAAGATCATTCATGCATTTCCTTGCTATAACAACCAAGGTACTTATGGTCTTCCTCTCTTCCAAGGCCCATTAACTTCGATCATGTCACTCTTTCTCACTGGTGTGCTCAACATGAACATTGCCCGTGACCCATTGAGTTCTCAAAATCTTTTATATGGATTTATCAAATTCTGTAGCTGTTTCTTTTTTATGATGCGATTCTAACATTTAGTGGCTAAATCTAATTATTTCTTGAGCAGGTAGAACATGATCTTGCTAGCAGATATTTGGGGTCAGTTGAATGCTTCAGTCAATTCAATTTTTTTCTGTGACCATTTTGTATATTAGCATTATAACTATGGTGGCTTTGGTTTGACATGAAGCTGTAAGCACAAAAAAGCCTTAATTGGTGGGTCAGATAGTCCTAGTCAAGTGAAGTTGCCCACCGTCATTCGAGCAGAGGAGGTTCAGACAAGCCTAGGAACTGAATTCCCAAGTTTTGTCAAATTGTTGGTTAGATCACATGTTGCTAGTTGTTTCTGGATGGTATGCACTTTTTTCCAAATGTTATGCATGTGAGTTCAGCTATAGTTTTATTGGACAAGCCAGATACATTATTTGGTATTGTTCCTCCTAACCTAGGGTCTTCCTGGGACATTCTGCAAGACACACTTGCCAAGAAAGGACACTACAGTTACACTGGAAGATGAAAGTGGGGAACAATTTGTGATCAAATATCTTGCAGGAAAGACAGGACTTAGCGCAGGGTGGAGGAATTTTGCCGTTGGACACAAATTACTTGAAGGAGATGTTCTGGTCTTCCACTTAATGGAACCTAACAAATTCAAGGTAACATATAGGAAGTAGTTTTGTTAGGCATGCATATTTTGTTTACTGATTGTTTGGTGAAAATGTATGACTTATTTGTCATGGACAAGAATGGGCGATTGAAACACCTCTAGTATACGTGCAATGCTAAACCTTTGTAGTCCATGCTCCATATTATGTAAATACTGCTTCTATATCTAACCTTGGAATAGCGAATGCTTGAGATTGTGTTGACTCCATCATAACAACTGAACAACCCAACCAACAGCAACTACTAGAGTGGAAATTAATTAAAATGATTAATTCCAATTTATGACAGGTAGCTGCAAAGAGACCAGAGTTTGGAAAAACAGTATATAAGTTGCTTGTGCTTATTTATCTCAACAGAAGAAAAACATGGAAGACAACAATGACAAACAAGTATGAATGAATGTGAAGTGGAAGATTTTAATTTTTAAATTGGCATGATATATGACTACTACACAAGTAGTACTGTTGTTAGCTCAAAAAACACGAGGCCTAAGGGAGAGAAAGAAAAAGAAAAAACCCACCTCCCCTACAACAAATAACATAGAAAAAAAGTGAAACAAAAGGTTTGACTAGACACCAAACCGTCTTCACCTAGCGTGTATATGTTGACATCCTAATGGAAATGTACAAAAAAGGCTACCAAAAAGTTCTCTATCCCTCGTGGTCACTGAAATTTACACTGAACCGTCATCACCTAGCATGAATCGGCGCTTTTATAATCCTCTAAGAGATGCATGTGGCATTGAAGAGGATTTGCAACAAGCTACTAGCTAACTTTGATGCTTAACCTTTTGCATATGACATGTACTACATTATGAGGTAGTCTCCAAGAGATGAAATTCATATTTATAGTGAAGCCGTAGGTTACTGATGCCTAGTCTAATTTGGCTATTATTTAGAACAAAACTGCTGTGCAACTGCGAGGTTTGTTGAATTTTGTAATGGGATAGAAGCTGCTTTTGCATATCAGATTTGAATTTTTGTTAAGTAGATAATATTTTTATTGCTACTTTATAGTTTAATTATTGTTTCCACAGCTGCTGCTCTGTGTATGTGTCTCTGTGTCTGTCTGTCTCTCTCTCTGAGGGTGTGAGGCAGGGAGTGACAATATCTTATTATATATATAGTCTTTGCTGATATCAGGCTCTTTTGAATACTTGTGTGTTTAGGTGTACATAATAAGGGCAAATGATTTGACTGATGTGGATGGTGCTCTCAGCCTCTTAAATTTGGATGCTCTTACAAAACAAAATGAATCAGGTTAGATGACATCTCCGTTTGGTAATTTTATATATGTTTGTTTTACCTCCTTATTTTGTATTTAAAGATTTTCTTGTCCCTGGGTAGAAAATGCGGAGACAGTTCTTACTGTTCCTAAAAGCAAGAAGCATCGTCCAAAGTCTCTTCCACTTACTGAGGTCCAAAAGAAGAATAAAAGGGAAAAACTGTCAATATCAATACATCAATTACCTCAGTCACTAGAACAATCTGGAAATGAGAGTGAAGAGGTTGGTTCGGAAGTTCTGGAAGGTTCTAAATTCTCTGGGACTGCTGTTCGATTCAAGGATATCAAAAGCTTTGAGGACTTCCACATTATGGTGAATGGGATGTGCATAGACTCTGAAATCCCTAAACACATACAAATCAAGTACTATGAGCTCTGCCGCAGTAAGAATGCATACCTTCATGATCGTCTTCTCCCTGGCCTTTGCTGTACGCTGGTAGCAGGTATTATCTTCGAAATTGTCAACATTGCAGATGCTATTAGAGTTTGCAAGCTCACAACCTCCCGGTATGAATTTTCTGCGTGGGAGAAGTCCTTGAAGTCTTTTGAACTTTTGGGCATGAATGTTGGATTTATACGTTCCCGTGTTCGCTGGCTTTTAAGCCTCGCCTTTGACTCGGAAGGTGGTGCCTCAGACACAAAGAGATACTTGGAAGCTAAAACTGAACGAAGTCGTGCTGAAAATGAGATTAAGAATCTCGAAGCAAAACTTTTGGAATTAAGAGAAGTCACTGTAAAATCTGATGCTAATATTGAGACTCTGAAATCAAAGGCTGAGAGCTATGAGCTAAATTTTAAAAAAGAGGTCAGTGCTCCGTGGTAATATTCCCCATTGCAAGTCCCAACAATGTACTTTCTTTCGCATGTCACTGGAGAAAATGCCCAAGTGTATAAGATATGTCATGCTCGTGTTTGAGAACAAAACCAGGAAGTAGCATCGTTAGTACTCGGCTATGAGCTCTGCTTTACCTTGCTAGGTTTTTTTATATAGACAATGCTGAAGTGAAACTTGAAAAGGAATTATGGCAGTGCTATTTTGTGATGTGAATATCTGCTGGGCTCCGAGAAGGAGCCTAATGTGAAACTCTCTCCCTCCCTGGCCTAAGACATTTTTCTTCTGTTTCTGTAGTTTAACTCTTAATGAAATAGTTTTCATGTAGCTTTTCTCGGAAGTGGAAGGAGAGATACGACAGTTTCTTCTGACAATGATATTCCTGAATCAGCTGGAGAATTTCCAATTTTGTTAGCAGCAAACAGGTTAGAGCGTGTTAATTAATTTGAGTTGATCTACGGTGATAAAGAAGCAAGCAAAGTGGCAGATGGTTTGGCAAAAGAGCAGTGATGTTCTGGCTCGGTCAGTTACTGGAAGAACGCTCCATCTGCTGATTTATGGAATGCAAAGTCTCAGAATTATAAACAGTGCTCATTTTCTTATGCCAGTATTCTGGTAGTCTTGTTTTGATCCTTTTCATCCAGAGGAAGGAATCATGGGAAACAAGCTCCGACCTTGTTCATAGACTTTGAGTTCAGGTTGTGCAGTTGGATGCACTCGCAGCTGTCCAATGAGGCTGTGTATTGTTTGCATGTATCAATGTTTTCTTGATAGGAATTAGCTTATGTCAATGTGATTGTGCTATGCACCTACTAAATACTGGCAATATCAGATGTTCTGCATATGATCTAAATCTGAGAGCCTCATTTGTTCCTCGCCCGGGTGGATTATGATTGTCTATTCAACCATTTATATAACCAAAATCACGATAGGCAACACAAGAAGGTGAATGCAAAGCTGGGACTCAGCTTATAGACTGCGGCTTCAGTTTTTTTTTGGCAGGGATGCCAACCCACGGGCTGTTTCGGTGCTGCTATTAGCATTAGCACAAGAACTGTCCCCGTGTGGTTGAGAGTTGAGACCATTGTCTATGATATTGAAGAAACACCAGAATGAAGCAATTAGATGCCTTTTTTTTTTTTGGCTTTTTTTTTTGTTAATAATTTTGTTGTTATATGCGAAGAAAACAATTCTCTGGCGGTCTAATCCTTTGTCCAACAATCTGACACTTTTGGAAAGACCCATGTGCGAGGCCTAACTATGTGCATTGATCTTTCGTTGCGTACGCCTTTCTTCGCCGGTGGTAAATTAATGCTTCATTAATGGAAGAGAGTACAACATTTCTAAGTAAGACTAACCCTACCAGAGTTAAGAGATTGTACCACACACATCAACGAAGAGTCTGTACAATTTTGATCCACAAAATATTCTATGCGTAGTTAAAGTGATAATACGGATAAATTGTAAATTTAGACAATGAGTTTGAATTTTAATAATCGATCGGAGTACGTCACAAAAAAAATTTATCTCTCGTTAATATTTTAATTTTGACGTGAATAATTCATTTATAAATAGATCAAATTTAGTATTTGATATAAACAATCTAAAGTGTAAAAAAAAAAAAAAGCATTAATCAGAAATGATCCAGGATTAGTGAAAGGGACGTCCTTCTGTCCACAAGTACAATGTAGTACCGTAGCGGCAACATCATCACCTGCAACAAGAAGATTCCTTAGGGAGCAAGATGGCGATGAGGAAGGTTCCCTCCGGCTGCTAAATGAACTTTGCTCCTTGGCCATGAATGGCAGTGATAATAGGGACGAGGAATAAAGTTGAATGTTTTGAGTTTTAATTTTAATAATTTATTAGAATTAGTTTATTTGAAATTTATTTTTTACAAATATCTTATTCTTGACTTAAATGACATATTTTTGACAAGATTAAAAAGACAATTATTCGAGATACCCAAAAGTTGACTTCAATATCTTGACCGTTGAATAAAAAAAATATAGATGCCGAATGAAATGAGTTAAGCATGGGTGGTATTAAAATTTTTAAATGTAAGTTCAAGTGATAATGTTTTGAAATAGAAGTTATAATGGTAAAAATTATGATCCATTCTAAAATAATATTAAGTGATAACTTTTAAAGTTAAAATTATAATTTTTAAAAATAAAGATATAATTAATTTAAAGTATTCTTAATTGATCATAATATTTTATGATTAATTACTAGCTACTTGAAGTAATTATACTTTCATTTTTAAAAAATAATAATTTTTAATACCATAAATTTNTTTTTTTTTTTGGCTTTTTTTTTTGTTAATAATTTTGTTGTTATATGCGAAGAAAACAATTCTCTGGCGGTCTAATCCTTTGTCCAACAATCTGACACTTTTGGAAAGACCCATGTGCGAGGCCTAACTATGTGCATTGATCTTTCGTTGCGTACGCCTTTCTTCGCCGGTGGTAAATTAATGCTTCATTAATGGAAGAGAGTACAACATTTCTAAGTAAGACTAACCCTACCAGAGTTAAGAGATTGTACCACACACATCAACGAAGAGTCTGTACAATTTTGATCCACAAAATATTCTATGCGTAGTTAAAGTGATAATACGGATAAATTGTAAATTTAGACAATGAGTTTGAATTTTAATAATCGATCGGAGTACGTCACAAAAAAAATTTATCTCTCGTTAATATTTTAATTTTGACGTGAATAATTCATTTATAAATAGATCAAATTTAGTATTTGATATAAACAATCTAAAGTGTAAAAAAAAAAAAAAGCATTAATCAGAAATGATCCAGGATTAGTGAAAGGGACGTCCTTCTGTCCACAAGTACAATGTAGTACCGTAGCGGCAACATCATCACCTGCAACAAGAAGATTCCTTAGGGAGCAAGATGGCGATGAGGAAGGTTCCCTCCGGCTGCTAAATGAACTTTGCTCCTTGGCCATGAATGGCAGTGATAATAGGGACGAGGAATAAAGTTGAATGTTTTGAGTTTTAATTTTAATAATTTATTAGAATTAGTTTATTTGAAATTTATTTTTTACAAATATCTTATTCTTGACTTAAATGACATATTTTTGACAAGATTAAAAAGACAATTATTCGAGATACCCAAAAGTTGACTTCAATATCTTGACCGTTGAATAAAAAAAATATAGATGCCGAATGAAATGAGTTAAGCATGGGTGGTATTAAAATTTTTAAATGTAAGTTCAAGTGATAATGTTTTGAAATAGAAGTTATAATGGTAAAAATTATGATCCATTCTAAAATAATATTAAGTGATAACTTTTAAAGTTAAAATTATAATTTTTAAAAATAAAGATATAATTAATTTAAAGTATTCTTAATTGATCATAATATTTTATGATTAATTACTAGCTACTTGAAGTAATTATACTTTCATTTTTAAAAAATAATAATTTTTAATACCATAAATTTTCTTTTCAGTGTAGGAGAATTACCATAAATATGGAGGACTTGGGTGGTACAAAGAGGAATTCATTTTGGAACACAAAATTTGCATATTTGTCAGAGGGATTAATTTGGGCCTCGTGGATCCCAACAGGATTCACAGCTATGGCTTAGCTGTCGTATTGACTGTTGACTGCCAGTCAAACTAAATCTCAATAGAGCTTCATGTACGTACGAACGTACCTACATCTCTTCGTTTATGTAAATAAATATTTATTATAAGGTGTGTGTGAATAATTATATTCCAATCTCAAGTTTTTCTTAATACCCAATTTAAGATTTTGTATGAACAGAAATACTTGGCGTAAATTACAACTAATTTTCTTGAGGTTTGATCAAATAATAATAATAAGACCCCTTATTATTTGAAAAATAACACTGATCTCCCTTATTAGTGATAAAAAATATATTGAATAACGGCATCATAAAAAATGACTATAATGTCATAAATTTCTAATTTTTTAATTGATTTATTTTGTGCTCAATCTAAAACTTAGATTGGAGACCCCTCCATCAACCACCTACACACACGATAGACTTCACCGGCACAACCACAAAGCTAAACCAAGAACACAACAAAGCCTCCAAAATCCACCACAACATTGTGCTTAATCTACCACCCAAAACCACAAAAAGTACCCAAGTCACCTCCACACTGCCACCGCTACCATAAACCCCCCAAAAGGCAGTACACAAGTACAATACCCAAGCCACCATTGCACCATATGGCATCATCACATCACCACCACTGCTTCACCAGCCTCAACCCAACCATTACCACCACCACTACACTGCCAGCCTGAAACTCGAAATGCCACACCCATCATAACCCAATCAAATCCCACCTATATAACCTCATAAAACCACCACAATTCAGAACCACTCGAACTAAACCACCACCCCCGCTGCTCACCCACCAACAAAATACCCACCCCTTATATAACAATTGAAAACCACAGTCAACTAGCTGAAGGTGGATGGTATTTTTGGGTAGTTGATGATTGTGTTTTGGGCGATGCTGAACGGAGTTGTGATTTTTGGTGGTGATTTAACTGGGAGGGGGCTTTAGAGTTTCAAGTGGTAGTAAAGCTGATGGTGGTGGAATCTTTGGCATGAAGAGGGTAATGGTAGCGTCGAGCGAGGTGGAGGAGAGGCGTGAGCAGAGAAAAGGAGACGATAGGGAGGGTATTGTATAGGTTGTCTTTAACATGGATGCGGATTATTTGGCAACCAATTGACTTTAGCTACAATCTATATAAGGGCAATGTTGAAATTTTAAAAAAATAAATTGCTTACATCATTAAATTTTTGACGTCTCTCTAACGGAACACCAACGACTGGGGAAATGTATTATAGACACTCAAACCAAAAGGGAGTGTAGTATTTTTTTCAAATAAAAGAGGAACTCATTATTATTTGATCAAACCTGGTGGATGTAATTTATCGAAAACAAAAAACTTAATATGATTTTGTGGAATCTTCAAGTTTTTTCCTTCAAAACTTGAGACATGGCGATATTATTAACCCCCACACGAAAACTCTAGCATCTGAACTATCCTGATAGGTTCGTTTTGGGAAATTGATTCTGGGTGGCAAAACACCAACCTTATAAAAAAATATTGAGTTAAATTTAAATTCAAAGGGAAAGAGATTCGAATTATTATTCAAATCAAGAAAATTTTTAATTTTTAATTAACAAATTTTATACTTCTTTAAATTTGAATTTGTATGCTAAAAATATTTTATATTAAATTAAATTTTTAATCAAAATTTGAGTCAAAAGGTTGGTCAGTTGTTGATTATAATAAAGTTGATAATACCAAGTGTTTCTCGATCTTCCAATACGACAAAAAAGGAGTCTTTGCTAATACAAAAAATGCATAAAATAGATCTATCAGTGCTCAACATCACCCATTTCTGCAACTGCAAATATTTTGTACAAAAAACAACCTTCAAGATCAAATTGAAAAATGAAAGACCACGTCGTATAGCTTTCAATGTGTGCGTGAGTTTATATGTCGTCTATGGCCCTCACACTGTTAGTATGAGTGGTTATAGTTTTATCCAAAAAAAAAAAAAAAGATCAAAATGAAAGAGGACATTGAAGCTCCAAAAAAGATGAACCAAAAGTCAAACTCCATCTCTGCTAACACAAATTACAACTGCTCTAGCTAAAAAATTTACCCAAATCTCCGATGAAACTACAAGTCATAACAATTAACAAGTCTCTCCAAAAAAAAAATTGTTCCCCTTATGATCTCTACAATCCCATCACAACCATAATCTACTCTTCCCTGCAACTTGGTATCTCCATCATTGTTCAGACCCTGCAAACACACACACACACACACACACACAAAACAAAACCCTAATCAGACAAACCAACCCTTTTGAATTATGATGAGACCAAAAACTTTAGTACTGCATGTTCATAATTAACAGATTTGTACACACCTGTGAAGCCTTGCTGACATGCATGAGTCTCTTCTTGAACCAAACCAGACCTTTGTCCTACAGACCCATCACCCTTATCAGTTTTCTTGGACCCAATGTGGGTTTTTCTCAGACCCAGAAGCCCCTTCCACCTTGTAGAAGAACCCTTAGGAGGCCTCACTGAGATCTGACTATCGTCTTCATCAACAGCCAATAGCTCCTCTCTGAGAGTGGTCTTGTTGGTGCAACTTTCCTTGAATGGCAACAACCTACCTTGGGAAAAAAGTTCATCAGCACTCATCATGGAGTAATTTGCCACAGAAAATTCAAAGTCCGAGGACACTGGAGCATCTCTAGGGTTCCTGTCGTGTTTGATAATCCTCTGCTGATGAGAATGGCTGGACTCTGCAAAGTCATTGGAGAAGGAGATTCTGGGGCTCATTGGAGGAACCCCAAAACCTTTGTGCTCGGAGTTTTTGTTGTACATGACTAAGCATGCCATGGAGCATTCAAACAAAACATATGGTGGAAGTGGAGGAGAGAGAAAATGAACTCTCCATATAAATTCTACCCGGGACCCCCTTAGCACTGCTCTAACCATTCATCAGTAGATGTTTGTATTAATATCAGAGGGAGAGGGGGACATTTGATGCATGTCTTTTTGAGTACATGCATCTCATGTCATGATGTGATGTTTTGTCATCTCATGGTCTTTGGCATTCAGTGATGACCAAATCTTTGATAGAATCGGGACCCTGGTTGTGGTTTTATGGCTTTGTGGATGAAGCCAATTTGTCACTTCAGTTTTCGTGCTTTATCTCAAACTTTTAGTGCAATTTTGGACTCTTACGCACTGACAATGCACTATGTAGTTGTTATTTGGGTGGGATTAAAGGGGTTCATAAGTTAAGCGGGATTCATTTACATATAAAAATATTTAATCTCAGATCAACTTCAGTTTGAATTTATTTTTATTGCAACCAAGTTAGAACTGGAATGCATAGGTTCCAAGAACTAGAGACCTCAACTCTAATAATACTATGCGAACTTAAATTGGGTTAAATTTTTATCTCAAGCGTCTATATATTTGTATATAAGTGTTAATTGCAATTACATTTGTTTTTTTCTTTTATTTTGGGGCTAAGTGCATGTGAATTTCAATGGTGGGAATGAGGACATGCAAGGATACATGTGTGGCATTCTTTATTTCAGGACGGGAATTAAATGATGAATTGAAAAGAGGGATGAGATAAATGGATGTCATGTAGTCAGATTTAGAGTTGGGTGGTTACGGTTTCCATTGCAGGCAAAGAAAACAACAGGAGTCACATTAAAGGATGGGGCATCGGGTTTGGGAAGAGGTGAATTGCTTTAAATGTTTTTAGCTAAGTTTTTGATAACTTTTTGACCGAGTGAACAGTAAAGAGAGAAGGAGAGAGAGAGAGAGAGAGAGAGAGTGGTGGGAGGAATCCTCCGGAAGGAGGAGGGGCTGGCATGCTTGACTGAGCTTTGACTCGTAAGTGAAATAGCAGTGAATGAGTTGGCAGATACCGACGGATCGAAGCCACCACGTGACTCGGGGATTAGGTCCTCTGTGTCCTAGAGAAAACAAAATGAAAATTAAGGACAGTGAAAGATAGATTATTGTTGACATAACGAAGTGTTATCATAAAAGTTATTGGATCAACACTAAATTCTAATATTTGATAGGGTCAACAGTGAATCAAAAAATTACAATGAATTAAGTCTATAAATTATATTAATAAATTAAGTCACAATAATATTGCTCTTGTTAGTTTAAGGATCAATTTCGCCACTTACTTTGGTTCTATACGACCGATAATTTTTAATATATCTTGTCAAGTCTACGAGAAGACAATATCAGATATAGACTTAGTTTTAAAGAATTCAGATAATAATTAAGGTAGAATATAAGTAACAATTGTAGATGCCGATGATTTGAGTAGATGCAATAAGCATGAACCAAAACGTATTTAGCAACTTTGAACCTTATATATGATTGAAAGATAATATAAGCTAAGAGATAAAATTCTTCATTAACTTATAGAAAGGAAAAAACTTGAAGGTTGAGCCCACTAATTGTAGGAGCTTGGAAACTTCTCCATTAAACATCCAATGTGATTTTGTCTTGAAGAGATTCTTCACATATTTCACATAGTTTGTTGTGATTTTTTTTAAATTTTTATGTATACTCGTTTCTAATTTTAGACGGGCATATGGAAAGATGGTGGTGGCCGAGCAACACCTACTTTTTACATAAACAAAGGTCAAGTCGAAAGAATTCAAGCCAAATAGAAAATACAGTTGCCCTCGAGACACAGAAAACTATAAAATATTGAAACTCATTACCCGCATCAACATCGATCCAAAAGGTGTATCATTGGAGATGCTGAAATTAGTTAAAACCCAAGTAGTTTTGGTGGAAGAATAAAGGGGCAAAAGGAGAGAGAGAGAGAGAGATTTTAATCAATTTGCACCAAAAGAATAGTATGCCCCCCACATGACTTTAGCCACATGGGGTTAAGACAGTGGTGGCCAGTCAAACAACCTCTAATAACGAAGATAAAGATCAATTTTTTATTTCATATCTTTAATTAGAGATCTTATTGTGCACTCATTCGGACTTCTGATACTTCTATGACACCCTTTTTTTGTGTCGTTCATTCTTTAAGGACTTTATTGTGCATGTTTTTAGTCTACTTCACCCAAAAAAAAAATTGACATATTGTTTTGAATGTTGGAACCTTTAAGCATCAAAATACAATTAAGGTCATCCATGATCACCTGCAGATATTTAGCAATCGGGCAAGAAAACTCGTTTTTGCACCTATTTGCTAGTGAGTAAGGTCTCTTTGAAGCTCATTAGGAGCAAGAAAAAGCTTGCCTTAGATTTTCGATTCAATTTGTTTATCTAAATTTTTAAAAAGCCTCCCCCTTCGCCCTCATCAGAATAGAGGTATGCCAAAACCAAAGGCACGTCGTTAGTGCTACTCTTGATATTCATAGAAAATCTCTCTCTAATGGAAGTTGAATTTTTTCATGTGCTTAAATTTCAAGAATGTCTAGAAAGACCTTTTCCACGGGGTAGAAGGCTGGTTCCTAAATAAAGACCAGTCAAAAGCATTCAATTATCACCACTGACTTTGGACTCACGAGAGGGTTTAAGACACGTACCGAGAAAGCCTGAGTCTGTGTTTTTCAGACATGAGGGTGTAAAGGGCTGTTGGCTTGGTCTAAGGCGACTGTCTGCCCTTTTGGTAGCAAAACCTTCGATATTTTACGGTGCGAACATTCACAAACTCTTTGTTTAATGTAATCTTTGACTAGAAACTGATAAAAATCTTAGACTAGAAGAGTTTGTTTAGGTTTGTCCCTTTGGCTCAACTGTAAGTCTATCTAATCTAGTTGGACAATGAAGACGATCCTTTCGGTAATATCTTGGGCAATGAAGACGATCCTTTCGGTAATATATTACAAAATGTATGCATCTTAATATGTAAATTTTGGGGAATGGAGCAAAACATAGACAACAAGAAAGCAAAAAAAAAAATGGGTGAATTGCACTTTGTTTTCATTCCGTCAGCGTAACTTTTGTTGTTCATTTCGTCAAAAATTTTGTCAATGCCAATAAGTTAGTTTATGACGGAATAAATAACAAAAGTTAACAGAAATGACATATTATAGTACTACCCCTAACTTGTGCTTGAAGGCACAATAAAACATATAATTCGAATACCAAAAAGATCGATCTCACTATATAAAATAAAACTTTTTCTTTCTTTTATTTCTTTGATTACATTATTTAAAATTTATTTTACCCATTATTTTCTTAAAAATATTAACAATTTTTTTTTCCAAATAAGTAATTTGATAAAATTTTATCAACATGTGTATACATACTGTCACGTATGAATAATGTCTAAAATAAAAATTATATTAAATTATAAATTAATAAAATATTAAATTATTCAACATGTGATAGAAATGAGTGATGTAATATTTTTGAGAGAAAAATATATAGGAGGATAAAAATTCAAATTGTTATGTATTTTATTATATAGATTGACGTAGCAGAATAACGAAACAAAAAGAACACTACGATTTTAAATGTATAGAACAAAAGTACTCTGAATTCACAGAGAAATAACAAGAGAATAAGTTTGAAAAAGATATATTATTCAATGAATAATAATAGAATATTTATAGGAATGATCAAAACCCTAATCGTCCCCATAATAAAAGTAAAATTTTTAATTATACGAAAATTATCAAAAACGAAAAATTGCAATCTACCTAATTAATATAAAAACACGCGTCATCTAGAGTCTAACCCAATTGATGATACTGAATTTAGAATCTCATATGATTTATTATTAATTTTTGAATTTCTTCAGAAAATGACAAAAATAAAGTTTTGAGGGTCTGAATGATAGAATTCGACCTTAAACAAAAGGAGCTCATAGCAAAACCACGAGTCTTGATCGTTGGCCAGATCCAGATCAAACACCACTGAGTTCAATCAATTTCGAGTCTAAATTATTTTGCCTCTACTATCACTTTTTTTCTTTGGTCCTTTGTTGCACGGTGGTCTTCAAATAATCAGCAACCACTAGTTCTACATCAAATATTTTTAATATATTGGGGGGGGGGGGGTAATAGAAAGTGAAATATAGAAATTTTAATCTTTGAGGATAGAAATTGAGAATTCTTAAATTTGTTTGTGGTACAGAGAGTGATTTCTCAAAAAAAAAAAAAACATGCAAACTGATAGGAAGTTAAAAAAATAAACAAAAAAATTGAAAAAAACTTTAAAAAAATGCTATCAAACGAGACATTACACTTTTTGATTCATTTAGTGCAATGATAGATCTAAGGGCAGACATGGGTGATATCTATTTGTAAGATTTCCCTATTATAGATNTTTTGGGGGGGGGGGGGGTAATAGAAAGTGAAATATAGAAATTTTAATCTTTGAGGATAGAAATTGAGAATTCTTAAATTTGTTTGTGGTACAGAGAGTGATTTCTCAAAAAAAAAAAAAACATGCAAACTGATAGGAAGTTAAAAAAATAAACAAAAAAATTGAAAAAAACTTTAAAAAAATGCTATCAAACGAGACATTACACTTTTTGATTCATTTAGTGCAATGATAGATCTAAGGGCAGACATGGGTGATATCTATTTGTAAGATTTCCCTATTATAGATATATTATTTATTTTTTATGCTTGAAGATATGGAGTAATAAAAAAAATAATTAAAAATAAATATATTTGTATTTATACTCAAAATGAAATCACAAACAAAAAGGAGAAAAAAAGAAATTTAAGCACCAATGGTAGTGGTGGTGAGCGGTGGCAATAGTGCTGAATGATAGCGATGGTGGAGAAAACAGTGATGATTGTGGTGTGGTGGCGACGACTGTGGTGGCGGTGACAGCCGTGGATTGCAA